AAGTGGTTCACTTATTTATTTTTATCAAATGTTTATTGAATATCTCTATGAGCCAAGAACTGTTCATAGAGAATAAAATGGATATAATATCTACTTTCATGGAGCTTAAATTCTAGTAGATGGGTCAGATGTTAAACAAACATCCAATTACCTTCTTACTAACTGTAACACGTAAAAGAATTGTGCATCATTATGGAGAACCCTAATTTAAAAGGTGAAATCACGGGTGGCCTCTCTGAGGGGGTAACAGCTGCAACTTGAATGAGGAGTAGGAATTTGCTAGAAACGGGCAGGCAAGAAGAGCATTTCAGACAGAGAGCAGCATATGGAAAAGCTCTGAAGTGGGACAAAGTTCGTTCCTTTCAGGAAACGGAAAAAGGCTGACACGACTTAGGAACAGAAATTCAGAGAGCGGGAAGAGATCTTCAGATTTTATCCCAATTGTAATGGAAAGTCATTAAAGGGTTTACGCAGGGAAATGATAGCATTTACATTTTTAAAATATCACTCTGCCTGCCGTGTGGGGAACAGACTGGAAGGAGGACAAGAATGGAGGTGGCAGGTGTGATGAGAAAGCCTCTGTCACAGCAGGTGGTAGTTGATAGCGACATGTCCTAAAATGGTATGGGCGGACGCAGAGAGTGTAGCTGGATTACAGATGTGTCTTGGAGATTGGGATGGGTAGGATGTGACGATGGGTTGATGTGTGGAGAAATATCTAGGATGACACACAGGTGTTTCTGCTCGAGCAACTCAAGAACTAGAGGTTTTATTTACTGAGATGGGGAAGAATGGTGAAGGTACAGGTTTTTGGCGGGAGCTGTTATGGAGATCAAGAGTTCAGGTTTGGACACATTGAGCTTGAGATGTCTTTCAGACAGCCAAGTGGAAATTGTGGGTAGATACACACACCTAAACTGCAGGTGACTGCATATCACAAAGCATCTGCTGCCGCTGAGATGAATGAAATTACCCAGGGAGACTAGAGAATGAGAAGAAAAATGTCCTGATGAACTGTATTTTGAGAGAAGGTAGAGAAACAGCTGGAAAAATAGCATGAAAGTTAAAAGATGGGAGTGATTCAAGATGGAGGAAGCTGCCAACCATGTGGAATATTGCTGAAAAGGTGAGTGTCTCTCAAAAGTGCCTGCTGGATTTGGCAGTAGGGAAATCGCAGATGAACTGAGCAAGAATAGTTTCAGAATGGATAGGAACCAGCTTGGATTGAACCCAAACAGGCAACAGAGGTGGGTGGGTACAGTCTAACCCTCAATAACACTGGCTCTGAAGGAGAAGAGTGAGCTATGACCTCCTCAAGTTCTACCCAGGCCAAGGTTCTCAGTTGGCAGTTGAGATGGCTTCCATGCCATCAGGCCTGGGCTGACTACAAACAGTTCCCTTATAGCTCTAGAAGACAACGAACATGGGTTCAGAGAGAACGGGAAGGGCCTGTAGCCATTGTTGGCTCTCCCTTGACCTCAGCTTCACCTCCTTCATCCTTGGCACATGAGCCCCATTCCTTGTTCAAACCTCACACAGGAAACCTCTTCTTGTACCCCAGCATTCAAAACCATTCCATCATAAAGGTCTTGTGCCCCAATTGAAAAAGCTACTGCATGCCCAGGAGGTATGAATAAGGTGTATAGAGGCACCTGACACTCTGGCTAAGAAGACCTGACCTCAACCTTGCCTTTTCTAGATCAAATCATCCTAGGCCTTCCCCAACAGATTTCAGCCTACCTTACAGACCTCATCTCCCACTGTTCTCCTAGCTGAAACTCCACCCCAGCCTACTTACGCCCCTTAAAACATCTTATATTTTCTTACCTCCATACATTCGCTGTTTTTCCCCTTTAGAATTAGTCCCTCCTCCTTGCCTACTTGACTCCTATCCATACCTCTAGTCCAGCTCAAGTCCTTAGACCTCTAGAAAACCCTGCCTGGTCCCCTACTCCTCTCTCCTGCATTTTTCCTACACTGCCCTGGCTTTCTCTGCATGTGTACATACCTCCTACGTTGAGGAACAGTGAAACTGCCTGCTTATTCCTTTGTTTTCTTTGCTGGTGCCTGTACATAGGTGGCACTTGGTAAATATTTGTTTATTGACAGGTTGATTGAGAAAGCCAGTAGTCCATCCTCCCTGAAGGATGAAGCCTTGCTGCAGTCTCATCAGGACTGCATTAGCAGGGTTCACCAGGGCCAAAGGAGAAATAAATGGGTGCCACAAGTATTCGCCAGCCTGATTTCCATAGAATCATTTGAGGAAGTTGCAAGCCACTTGAGTTCAAGTTCAAATTAAGCTCTGGCCATCACGATCATCAACTACTTCAAACGCTCCTTTAGAAGCCTACCCCTTCTTGCAAGTGTTGAAAATTTAAACCACAAATGCTCATGCTCTCTTTTGACCCTGTAGACAGAGGTTTCTTGCCATTTTAAGTTGTGGATTTCCCCTGGCGTAGTCCCTTTTAAAATCTGAAAAGGAGATTTTTAAGCTACACCCTCTTATCGTATCATGCTTCATGTAACAAGAGCACTGCACAGGGGTGAAAATTCAGCCTGCGGTGTTTTTTTCCACTCAAGGTACTGGCTAAATTAGACATAATAACAAATAGTCTGCAGCGACTTTCATGCAATATGAGCTCCCATTAAAAAGTTTACACTGGTGAAGTTCTCAGGGCATAAACATTTTGCGGAAATTGCTTCAATCAAATCTGGGCTCCAAAGCGGCCTTTAACACGTGGCAATTATTGCAACCATGAAAAGACAGGTAGACAGTGGACATGGATCTATAATAATATGCTTTATGATTTCCTAGGGACTATTTTTGCCCCCCTGCATCAACAACATGAAAACCAAGAATCTTAAAATACTAAAAGTGGCAGTTTAAAGGCAAAACTTTTTTCTAGACCCCAAAGGCAAGAATTCAGCAAGGAAAGGGCAGGGAATTTGTGTCCCTCAGAGCTGGCACTGATTCATGCCCATGAAAGTTGGTTCCAATGTGGACGCTCTCTTCCACAGATTCAAGGAAATTCAACTACCACGTCTGTTTATATCTCAATTCGGCTTCTCCTGAGGTAGAATATATTTTCTTTTGTGGACAGAATTATTTATTTATTTGCTTTTGATTTATTGTTTTACAAGAGACGTGAGGCAACGGAGAGCCCTGGTTGTGCAGAAAAGGGAGGCTATTTCTTCTCAGTTCCTCCTGGCTTCCTCTACAGGGGCTCCAGGCTGCCATGACTGCCCCCTCCCTCCCCTGCAAGGTTGCACACTGCCATCAGGGCCAGGCCAGGGAGGAAAAAGGGAGGGCACCCTTGCCCTGTCTGGGGCTTTCTCTGACTTGGCTGGAAATAATGGGTTTCTAAGAAAAACAGCTATAAGAGACATGTGTTCAGATATAATCATTCTTTTGAGGGTGTGTCTGCTTTTAAATGGCATGATTCACCTAAAATAATATGTCCCCCATTTCTCACATCCAGCTGCCTTCCAGAAAGACAAGAACACGATGTGCAGAGGCATAGAGGAAACTGGGCTCTCACACATCCTCACTAGGAATGAACTTTCTCCAGCATTGAGCTTTCATGTTTAAAGAGAAAAGTTCAAACTCTTGGGGGAGGGGGGTGCTGAGACAAAGCGAACTGTCAAAATTCCTTTCAGTACCTAAGACTAGTGTTAACTTACATGCTTTCAGAGTGCCATAAAAAACCTGCACACTGCTGCTAAAAAAATGGTTTGACCTTTTAAAATGGAAACTCCCCCACCCCATATCCATATTCAGTAGATGAACCTCGGGAGCTCTAGAGTTCTGGATTAATAAATGAAATGAGGCTGAACTTCCAGAAAAGGGTTTCCCTATAGGCTGTAGGCTAATTAGGGTGCTCCACACCGACACTGTAACGGCAGGCAGAACGCGACCCCAAACCTTTTAGCCATTGTAGTTGCTAACCGCTCAGAGTCTAGTTCTGAAAGGAGGCTGAGAGGGGGTTAACGAACATTTAGTAAATACAACAGCCCTGGACGCGACCGCCCGCAGCCTGCGGTTCCAGGGCAGGCTGTCGGCCCCTGGCGGCCAAGGAGTCGCCGCGATCCTTGGTCTCCACCGCAGCCGCCGAGCCCGGCGCGCGCCGAGCGGCGCTGCTGAAAGAAGTTGGAGAGCTCCCAGCTCGCCGACAGGATTCGGCGGTGGGCGCCGGGGAATCCCTTCGAGCGCCGCAAATAGTAAAGTTTTGAAGTAGACCCTAGACAGACAGGAGACCCGTACTTTTCTTAAGCATAAGGGGGACACCGCGCCGCGCCAGCCGGAGACCGCTCGCACAAGGCCATCAGCCCTGCTCGGGTGGGACGCGTCCGGTGCCTTTCGGCTCCCCATTGCCCCAGAACTCGTCCAGAGGGCGTTGAGCCAGAGGCGCCTGGGCCGGGTTTGCGGTTCCGGGTGGAAACGCCTCTAGGTTTCTTGGCCTGGGAGACAAGGGTTCGAATTCAACAGTCGGAGGAACAAGAGCAGAACTACCAAGTCCCGCCAGGACACCCAGGACCTTCTCCTCCAAGCCCGCTCTGGTTTCTCCAAAGGACGCGCGGCACAGCCCATGCGCCCCCGGCAACTCCACTCCACACCTCTTTCCACAGGTCCCCCCAAACTCTTCCTGGGAAACCTCACAAAGCACTGACGGCGCCCCGAAACTCCCAGGGCACTCGCCAGCCATCCCCACCTCTGTCTCTCGAACCCTCCTTGTCGCGTTCTTCCCGCCCCGCATCGTTCTCCTCGCGTTCAGGGGAGTCAGAAGCAAACCACAAGAAAATGCCTTCGTAAGGAGCCTCCCTACACCCGCCCTGTCACTGAAACAAAAGGGTAGGGAGGAGGGAGGTGGAAGAGGAGGCGGGAGAAAGGTTTAGAAGAGGATGGGGAGAGCTGTAAGAAGGAGCTGGGGAGGAGGGTCCGGGTGGGGAGAATAGACGGAGGCCAGGGACCCCGCTCCGGCTCTGCGCGGCCGGTCGCTTACATGCCCAGGTCGCTGTAGGTGTTGAAGAACTCCATCTGGTTGCACGCCTGGATCCAGCCCACCACCCAGGTCTCGTGGCGGGGGATGGGGGGCATGACCACGCGGGCCGAGGCTTTGAAGTAGGGGGTCTTGTAGCGCAGGACGATGGGCGAGGTCTCCTCGATGCGCGTGGGGCACTGGTCGATGGTGGCGCACACATCGTACACCACGATGTTCTCGCGCCGGATCCGCGCCTTGCAGGTGATGCTTTGGATACAGCCCATCCTGCCGCCCGGCGCCGGCGCGGCGCGGCGTGGGGCAGCGCGGGGGCCCGCGCGGGCAGCCGGGGGCGCCCGTCACGCCGGCATGGCGACACGCCGCCGGCTCCCGGTCCGGCTCAGCTCACGCCTAGGAGCCGGGCGCTGCCGCCGGGCACCCTCCGGGGAAGCCCCCTCCTCTCGCCGCCGCTCGGGGTCCCCGCTGCCCCGACGCCCGCCCGCCCCCGCCCACGCCCGCCCCCTCTCCCCGGCAGGGCGCGCGGAGCGTGCGCTCCTAGGAGGCGGCGGGCGCCCCCGCCGGCTCCAGCGCCCGCGCGGAGGGCAGGGAGGGGAGCAGCGCTGTGAGGAGTGGTGCCCACCCCAGGCCGGAGCCCCCCGCCCCTCGCCGGAGAGGAGGCGGCGGCAGCGGCGGCGGCATGGAGCCGGGGGAGGGCGGCGGCGGCGGCAGCGCCCGGTCTGCCTGCCTCCGCGGCAGCAGCAGCAGCAGCCGCAGCCGCCGCCGCCGCCGCCGCTGCATGAACCTCTGCACCGCGGCTGCCCCCCGCGTGCAGCGCACCCAGCGGCGGGCGAGCGGGCGGCCCGAGCGGCAGGCGCAGGCAGCGGCGGCGGCGGCGGAGACCCGCGCTCCCCACGGCCCCGCCCCACAGCCGGGCCGCGCCGACACTCCTCTCCCCGGCCGCCGGGGGCTGGGGGGCGCCAGGGGGCTGCGGCCGGGCGGAGAGCCCCACGGGCTAGGCAGCCCGAGACGTGACCCGCGGAGGAAACTGGCTGTACGCCATGAGTTTTGTCCCTCTTCGGCTGCCGTCCGGGTGGGGGCGGGGGGGGGGGGAAATGTGTAAGGGTGGGGGTGTTTAAAGGGCCGCTAGCGCTGGGGTGGGGCCGGACACGTGGAGCCGGGGCGAGGCGGGGCTGCGGTAGGTGGCGCCTGGGAGTGGGGACGAGGCCCGGGCGCCGATGAGGAGGGTGGGGCGGAGCAGGGCGCGGCCCTGTCCAGGGTCAGGGCGGAAACCAGCCGTGAATGTTTGGGGCAGCCAAAGGGTTGGGAGAGCAGCTGTATCTGAGATTGGTCCGTTATTTATAATGTGGTTTGTTAGATTAGAGTTAGGCTTGAGCTCCCCGAGTAGCCTACCTTGAAGAAGGCTGAAGTCTGGGCTCCAGTAATGGTGCTAAATGCAGTGCATTTGCGTCTTTCCCTGACGATTTGCTCTGGAAGCTTTTATTTTCCGCCACTGTTTGTAGGGAGGGTACCCAAAGAATCCTTCCGTGTCCTAACACCGAGTCACCAAAATGGCAAGAGTTTTGGTGGAAGCACGAGCTCAGCTTTTACTCATCGCCTGCCTTCCTCCAAATCTTTTCCTTCTTAGAAAACGCTCTTTCAGTAAAACCCCACACACTGGGGAGTTGGAGCCGTGGTGGACTTACCCTAAACATCACATTTTGAATGTAGCTGTATCCTAGAGACAGGTTGTGCCTAGCAGGACCATCTAGCTGGATTAGAATGCTTAGCAGCTTTCTTGAGGTTACTCAAGGTAACCTGTGACCTGCTAAGTACAAGGGGACCTTGAAAACATTTTGGAACCAGGCTGGGTTTAAATAGTAACTGCTTAATGATACAAGTTCAGGATACCTGTTTGTAGCACTCCATCTACCCCTGGAATCTGTAGAAAGCCTGGAATCTCAGGGACCCGTTCTTATCTGTCCTTCTCCAGAGCACTGCACAGTGACTGGCACTTAGTGGCTGGCCAACAGCTGTCTATTAATGAGTGAATGAGTAAGCAATGAACAGCCCGATTGTAATTGTCGTGTGGAAACTGCCGCCACAGATATTGGACATTGTGTACAGTATGACCCGTGTTGTGTGTCTGGTATTGTGGTCTAATGTGCCAAACAGAAAAAAAATATTTAGCAAATGCTCTTACTGGGCATCTTTTTACATTTATATTTTCAAAGTCGGTGGTTTCTCTTTAAATATTTCTTGTCTGATCATTGAACATTTGCTGAACTTGGTGTGAAATACTCTAACACGATGCAGGAGACTGGCTAGAATTAATCTTTAGTTAGGACAGATGTGATGAGTAATTTAAAGATCGATCAAGATCTAAAAGCACTCTTTATCCTTGTTTTAACTTTTCTGGCACCTTGATTCACTTTATAGTTATCAAAAAAGCAGTTTTTGTCCTTTGCTAACATAGTTCTCTCATTTTATCACGTAGCCACAGATCTTAATCACTGGTCCTTTCATTCAGTAAACCCTGACTGCCTGGCAGGAGCCAAGTATTGTGTTAAGTACTAGGATTCAAAGATGAACAAGAGCTCGGGGCTGGCCCCGTGGCCGAGTGGTTAAGTTCGCGCGCTCCGTTGCAGGCGGCCCAGTGTTTCGTTAGTTCGAATCCTGGGCGCGGACATGGCACTGCTCATCAGACCACGCTGAGGCAGCGTCCCACATGCCACAACTAGAAGAACCCACAACGAAGAATACACAACTATGTACCGGGGGGCTTTGGGGAGAAAATGGAAAAAATAAAAAAATCTTTAAAAAAAAAAAAAAAAAAGATGAACAAGAGCTCATGGATCACTGAAGATAAACCTGTTAACAAGTTGTTACTGTTAACTGTGACACGTGCTTTCATGGTACTGTGTATCCAGTCTTATGGGAGCCCAGATAGAAGAGACCCTGAGGGATTTACACGTGGCTCTCTTGAAGGAGTGACATTTGAATTGGATCTTGAAGATACTGATAGAGGCTTGCCAAGAAAAGTGAAAGGGCAGTGTAGAACAAGAGGTGGGCAAATGCAAACTGCATAGAGGTATTAAGGAACATAGCCTATTCACAGAGAGAAAATGCTCACAGTCAAGGCATATTTCTCAAAGTGTTACGTGTAGACCATGGGCATCAGAATTGCTGGCCGGGAACCAGTTATTGATAGGACCGTATCTTGATCTTTAGTGGAAACCAACGGATGCAAGATTTGCATTTTGAGAAAAATTACTCTCTCAATTTGGAAGATAGAGCAAGGACAGTTTAGAGGCAAGGTGTCAGGATGTTGTGACGACAGATGATTTGGCCCTGAGCGAGGGCAGTGCCATGGGACTGGAGAGGCCTGACTGCATTTGAGAATCATTTAAGATGTAAAACCGATTTACTTGGTAATTGATTAGATGTTGGAGGAAGAGTCTGGCTGGCTCTGAATTTTCCGGCTTCAGCAATTAAATACATGTGATCCTAATAGTCAAAACAAGGAGACAGAAGTAGAAGCAGATTGAGGTTGAGTGTTGTCGTGTTAAATTTGAGGTACTTGGAGGGTATTTTGAGAAGAGGGTCAGAGTTTGAGTTTTAGTGGTTATTAGGTTCCAGGAAATAGACCAAGAGAAAAACATTCAATTGGAAGAATTTAGTTATTTTTGTTGACTTGAGTTACTTGTAAGGCTGCAATTTTGTGGATAAATGTCATCCTTTGTCTTCTGGCACCACATGCTAAGCCTTCATAAACAGGCTAGAGCAATGGTAGCCTTCCCCCAATTATAGGGAAATCATATAAAGGAGAATATATCTTTTTTCAAACTTAAGATGAGACCTTGTTATATCCAGCAGAGTGCCAATCAAATATAACTCATTATTCACAGACTTGGACCCTTGACATTCTCAAAGGGTTCATCCATGACCTTCATGAGTCTCCAAAATCATGAATGTCACCATGACATATAATTTCCACTATAAAAAGCAGTAAAGTGTGACTGAAAAATGTAAGGGATCCTTTTAGACTCTTAATGGTTCTATAAATATGGGACCAAGGTAATTTCTAAAGCTACTTAAATAAATTTGCCATTAAAATAAACTTCTGACCTCATTACATCTGTACCTTATTAATTCCATATTTCCCTGACTCTGCAAAGAAAAAACTGTTAATCACAGTATGAGAATTACTACATAGATGTCAAAGAGAAGAGAAGAGCTAAGCCGTGCTGGGACACAGATGCCAGGTGTTGGGCGTGGTCCATTCACTAGCTAACGGGCTGGCAAGTACACTCTGGCCTCCTACCAAGCCATTCAAATTTGTGTCTCAGTGAATTACCTCACAGCAGGGACCTTTCAGATCACTCGGTCGAGACTATTTTCATCCATGAACATTCAGTCTGCAAATGCCATGGACCACTCCATTGGCTTAAATGAAAGTCCTCAGAAGTGCAACAATGTTTCTGTTCTGCTCTTTGAAGTTTCTCTTTCTCTCTTGGCAGTAAATCTCCTTCTCTTCTGTTAGCATCATATACCTGCCTGTTAGCACCTTTCAAGCTGTTTCACAACTATTTGTTTGCTCACACTTGTCTCCTTCAACAGGCTGTTCACTCCTCAAGGGAACGTGGCATCATCTCCTATTACCCAACCTAGTGCTTGGCACCATGAGCTGCTCAATAAATGTTTGAATGAATAAAGTTATTATTTTTAAATCTGATAAAATATTCTTTCCCATAACTTACCTGAGTTCTGTCTCCTTACCTACAGCAAGCGTACATTTTTATCCTAATTCTTTATGCATGGTACCTCTTTGCGCTCCCACTGTTTTCCCCCAATGTGCCTCCTTGTTAGGTCATGCCTATTGTCTTTGAGCACTATAAACCGTCTCAAGGGCTATCTGTTCTAGGCACCAAGAAATGGAAAAATTTCAATGACAAGACCTTGATGACAATGTTTCTTTGTGAATAACTTCATTCGAGTTTATTCTCAGGGCACAGCACAGATGCTTCTTTGTACTTCCCGCTTTTGATGTTCTTGTGCATGACAGAGGCCCTCAGTTCCCCGATTTGGAGCCCTGGAGCACACTCTCCATGATGCTGACCTCTGCACCTCCTTTACAATCTGTTCCCTCAGCCTCTGATGACCCCGTGCTCCATCTTTCCAGTAGCAGAGCGATCTCTGACTTTATTTTTCCTATTGGTTGACTCATTACTCAATTTGTCAAGTGAGCTTTTTAGAAACTCTGGGTCACAATGGCCTAATTTCTAGTTGACCTTGGCAAGGGTTTTCAGACACTGTGGAACAGACTACCAAAAGTCATTGAGGAATTGCCTCTGGAGCTGTTGAAAATGGAGATGGATTTCTGTCTAGCTTAGATGGTCGGAAGACAGGCAAGAGGTTAAATGAGTCCCCAAGGTCCAAGAGTACAGGATTAAAGAAACAATTCTTTTTTGGTT